TATGTATGTATATGTATATGTATATGTATATGTATATGTATATTTGTGTGTATCAACATAACCCTTAACGTTGTAATAATTCTGAGAGGTAAAATGCAAGTGCCACTAAAACGTGGGGGGTGCTCGGTACACCGCATAGTAACATCCGCAGCTGTTTACGTCATGAAGTTCACACCATATGTTGTAGATACATATACATTCGTATTTATTATTGGTACTGAAACATTACTTTACAATCATGATTTTACCACAATTGGTGGCATGGCCATTTGCGAACCATACTGGCAACATCCGTACCAACTGACCACTAACATTTGTGATTATTAATAATATAGGTACACTCTCCGGTACAGCCGTTAAAGTGTCTGGTGCTACTCTAACGGATGTCGAAATACAATTAGTCAGCAATGATCCCGAAGCAGAAAATGTGGCTGTACTCACTAATCTCGAAGGCACCTGGACTGCATTAGTAGGGCCAGGGACATGGACTATCGAAGCACCAGAACAGGTCGGTTTAACTCACATCCTGCTTAGGCATATCAATAGCCGATCGCCTTGTCTATACTTCATAGCGCAGTTAACACATGGGGACTACGATAGTATGCGGGACACCTGACCTGCTGTTCGAGTCAGTTAAATAATCACACGGCGAGTGATTACAAAGCTGCCCTACTCATTCCTTCATATTATGGGGCTGGAAACGGAACTTAACATATTTCATCGACGTATACTTATTTGTGTTATCAACCTCAACGTATTTGCACACCTTCCATTCCAATGCACACAGGTGGAGGGTCTCAACAAGGCCACCGATGTAGAGATCGTAGTGGCTCTGGCTGGTGTCACTACACCGAGTATACCCATAGTTTATGCCGCCGAGAGTGAGATCGGCGGTGCTACGCAGACGCGCGACCTGGAGGCTATAAGTGACGTAGAGCTTATCCTGACAACCGACGATGGAATAGAGATAAATACCGTGTCCACAGATAACGACGGCGTGTTCTCATACACCGATTTGGCGAATGGGAAGTATGTGCTGGCGTTGGTATCGGGCGAGGGTGTTCTGTGGGAAGCTGAATACACACTTAAGTCACCGGCGCGAGTGGAGCTGGAGATCGCCGAGGGAGTACCACTGACCAGTGTAGTCTTTATTTTTGATCGCAAACGGTCCATCTCCGGCAAACTGACTCAGGGTACGACCCATGCCGGCGTGGCGGGGGTGTTGCTGCATTTGTTGGAGGCCTCTAATCCGGCCTTTCTCCGGACTGCGGTAACGGACGAGAATGGTGCGTATGTGTTTGCGGGGTTGGCGGATGGGCAATACACCATTGTTGTACCTACGTCGACGGCCTGGGGAAGTCTAGAGCTTGCAGGTACTCGTAGGCGTCGTACCACTGACTTGAGTATCTCGGAGGACAATACCGAGGGGGTGGTGAACTATGAGTATGGCGACTGCAAAGGAGGTGAGTCCTGCTGTCGGGATATATATATGTTGAATGTGAGTTGGTACATGTTCATCTATATATATGGTTGTACATATTCACCTGTATGTATGTATGTATATGTTCAGCGATGTGTATGTTTGTACGTATTGATCTATGTGTATGTAAGCACACATATATCCATGTGTAGGTTTGTATATACTTCTCTATGTGTATGTTTGTGTATATTTATACGTGTATGTTTGTACATATTTACCTATGTGTTTGTTTGTATACGTTTAGCAATGTGTATGTTTGTAGCTAGTCACACGCGTCTGTTGTAAATATTCATCTATGTGCATTTGTGCACATATTCATGTGCATGTTTGTCTTTTATCTATATGCGGATGTATGTTCGTACTTATGTATGTGTATATGTTTGTGCACGTTTCTTTTACGGCTCACTCTATCATATGGTTCGAGTGCATACGCTCACTATCTCTTGTACGTTACTTGTGCAGAACTCATTCAAACATTCTCGTCATGTGGCGATTTTCTTGTGGACGATGGCTTGCTCTACCAGTGTAAAACCAGCCCAGGACAACTGTACAACAAAGCAAAGTGCACCATGATCGACGTCCCCTAGTATGTAGCGTCTGGTTGTTTACGTGTATGTGTGTATGTGATTATGCGTTTTTCTTTGCCCAGATTTGTAAATATCTTTAAACACACACACACACACACACACACACACATATACACACACA